TTTTTTCCAAACGAGTGTTCATTAAGGATATCGAGCATTGATAAAACAAGCTACACGAGGTCTTAACTATAGCTTTTGTTTGAGTGCATGTTATGGAATACAGGGTAAAAGTGTTCCCATTGAAGCTTAATGTTTTAGTGTCGAATGGTATGTTACTAAGCTATACCACAAAAGCGTTGTACCATACGAATAACCGAATGTGACTACGATACCTAAGATCTCACTGGGAATAAGGAACTTCCAACACGATCAGCAGTGCCCCCCCCTCTAACATCGGGGAAAGCTGAAACACATTTAGCAAAAAAACAAGAAAATATTTACGACTTCAATATACTTACTGGCAATGTAACATTGGTAGTGAGTTGAATTTTACAAAATACTTAAGTGTCTACTAAATGCATTTAAGTAGGCGTAGTTTATCTTTTCTCACGGGTCCCATAAGGCAGAAAGCTGGGGCTACTCGTATATAAGGTCCACTACCAACGTTAATTCTGCATACTTACTTTATTTGAAAACATGTGTAAACATTGTTAGATAAACATATTTTTGGCATGCTATGCTATCTAACCATGATTTCTATGTACAGGTTGAAGTATTCGTTGGTCCGAAGCTGCGCCAAATGGCTCTGGATTTTACCAAGACGTTTAAGTCGGCTCCATCCTTCTCTACGGAGTACTCGGACAAGAAGTGCACCGTGGAAATTGTTTCATCACTGGACGAAGTAATCCAACACATCGATTCCTTCGGCAGTTCCCACACAGACACTATTGTTACCGAAGATCGTAAGTCGACACTTGGGCCATTTTTGTCAGTGACCCTCAAATATTCCAGCACAAGTAATTGGTATAACAATTAAAAACGCAGTCGACGAGATACATGTGATCGCTGGCACAATCGAAGGATCAAACTATCTTAATCCTGCACACGTATTTTGAAAATAGACAACCCAGGTTATACCATTTGTAAGGTAACTTAGATTGCTTTTAGTACCAATACCTCTTTTGTATTTTGGATTCAACACTTTGTGAAAATCTTAGTTATCCGACCTTGCAGTTTGTCCTTCATGGTGTTTTAGTATGTTTACGGTGGGTAAAGCCGGTACCAATCATTCAACTGTCAACGGTCAAGGCGAAAAGCCGTAGAATACTGAGAACACAGCACGATCTTATAAATCCAATCCAATCTGTCGTTTAATCAGGGAGTGCCATAATGCTTTCCGTCTGGTCAACTGATTTAACGTGCATTAGTTTATGATATTGATCTCCTTGATTTGCATTTAATGTCTAAATTTTACATTTCATAGAAGCCACCGCGGACAAATTCCTCCAAGGCGTGGACAGTGCATGTGTGTTTCACAATGTTAGCACAAGGTTCGCGGATGGCTATCGATTCGGATTGGGTATGTTGGATGACTTTTCGTTGGTGATTTGACTATTTGGTGCTGTTACTACAGCCCCTTGCTTGGTCTATATGAGCCAAACCACATTATTTACTAACCCACTTTCCTTATTCAGGTGCAGAAGTAGGAATAAGCACTGGAAGGATTCATGCCCGAGGACCAGTCGGTGTGGAAGGTCTTCTAACTACCAAGTGGATCCTACGAGGTGAAGGACAGCTCGTAGGGGACATTGAACTGAAGAAGGGAACATATCCAAGAGACACCCCGAAAACTGCCCAGGCTGTTTAAGAGGCCTGTAGATTTACTGATTTTATAAACACTTTTTCCCAAATTTAAAGATTGGGGTCCATTCATTTATAAAAAATTGCGAATAAACTTAATATGCAAGCCGAATTTCCCAAATTCCATCTGTGTAGTAAGTTGTGATTTAACAATCCGTCAAGGCAAATGTTTCTAATTTAATGAAAGGAAAATAACTGCAGTAAAGTGCACGGTAACTTGAGTCGAGTCTTCGTTTGAGAATTGTGATAAAACACATTGCGAACATAGGCTGTCACCCGAATGTACTCTGAAACAGAAAGTGCTTGTAGTTCATACTGTACGGAGAACTCAAACGGCAGCTATTTACGGACATACTTCTTGCCCGGGAGTGAACGTTAAGACAACATAGCGCTCCACAATATATGTTTGAAAAGGATTTTTTAAGACTATCCAGATGGAAAATTGGTCTTGAAATTAATGGGATTTGCGTGACTTCACTTGTCGACTGGCGAGTACTTTTGCGAGCTTTCAATTTTTTGGAATCTGTTAGGCCTTGGAAACTGGTCCCCGTAGGAAGATGTACGTCAGCACGCGCATAGCATATTGTAACTCTGATGTCGACGCTCTCGTGGCCAATAATGTTTTCTTTTTGAAAATACCTACTGCATAATTATCAGTAGGAAATTACTAACGAAATATCTGTCCCTGTCAGTACCACAGAGCGTAAAGTGCATATGAAGGACTATGAAAAATCGGCGCTTAGTAGATCATAAAGGCGATTTCCCGAAAAGCCCGTCAGCGTTGAGTGTAAGCTCTCGGGGTTCTAAGCTCCTCAGCTTCCCCTTGTTGGCTAAACAAACCTGAGACTTCCGAGCAGTAATACACTCATTTCACAAATCGGGAAAGTTCCTGAATACGCTTAAACTATAGACGAAAGGCAGTTCAGGGCTAATTTCGACGTCCATAGACACCTAGAGAAGACGGGGACCGGAGTTTAAGTGAAGTGTATTATTTTTATTCGAAAAGCTCCCTATTAAGTAAACTCGGGAAG